TGCCAGTTCTTGGTGCAACATGATGGGACAGCTTCCTGTTTGCCTTGGATTCTCTTCATTTGGAACTTCCAATTCCCCTGCAAAGCCCCGCACAGCTGAACTCAGGCCTTTTTCCACTTGACTTTTCCAACCCAGGGGTGTCTTTCCTAGTAAGGGGTATGTGCTGCATGGGCTTTTCCATGTTGCTTCCTGGCAAGTTCACCCAACAAAATGGGGTTTGGAATCTGGAAGAGTTGTTGCCCGTTTTTGGTGTGGCTACCATGGATTTGACCATGCCAGCTTCTGCTTGTGCAGGTCCTGAAAGTTTTTTGTTGACCCTGGATTTTGCAACCTTTGGAAGTTCTTTATCAATCCAAAATCCTTGCTGTGCTGGATTGGTTCTTTCGTTAGTTGGGATGTGTCACGTGGGGTTGACGCCATTTTCAGTAGACTCTGGCATTGCCGAGTCATCCGTGCTTTTCAGATGCCTTTCTCATTCAAGCTTCAGCTTGTTGGTTTTTGGGGTGGCCCGTTCAGGAGCGTCAGTCTTTGTAGCAGATGTTGGGCTGATTGAAAGCACAATTCCTGTCCGAAGATTTGCACGCGTGGATTCTTTTACTTTGACAAGAGGTAGCGTGTCTCTGGGGCCATTGCCATTGCTCTTGGACTCCTTTCAATTAGGGTTGTCAATGCCGATTCGTAGCTTTTCACATTTAGACCTATCGATGCTTCTTCTGGACTTTGCCAGTGTTGGACTGTCGGTGTTCCTGCAGGCACTATTGTGTCTGGGTCTGTTTGTGCTACTTGTTTGCATGTCCCGGCCAGACTTACCAATTCTGGTTCTTGATGCGGCTCTAGCGGCTTTTTTACTGCCTCTGCAAGCAATTGGACACGTGAGCTTCTTCATGCTTATTGTCGGATCAGCCTGTTTGCCTACCTTGCTTCCGGTCCTTGACTTTCTCCATACTGAGGCATTTTTGCTTGTGAGAAGCAGGGCCCAAATTGATTTAATCCCGTTGTTGCTGGGTAAGATTTGCCTAGGCATGTTGACACTACCATTTGGAGCCCAACTCGGAAGCTTCCTACCCTTACACAGCCATGCAAGAGTGGATGGAGAACCGTTTGCACTGGAAGGAGCATTTTTAGGAAGTTTGCCACTTGCTCAAAGAAGTTCTAGGCTAAGCTTTGCACTATCTCTACTTGGAGTGGTGCGGTTTGGGCCAGCACTCCTTTTGCTTGGAGAAGTGCATACAGGTTTTGTTCCTTCATCGCATGGCTTGGCATGCTTGGACACACCCGCTGTGGCCTTGAACCGCTTTGAGCTGGACTCGGCCTTTTCACTGAGGCGACTCACTCAGGTCAGTTTCTTCATGTTTGCTATGGGAGCGTTGCGGATGGATGTGTCTTTTCCTCTTTTGGATTGGTCGCATCCCGATTCTCTGCTACTACTCAGAGGTCCAGCTAGATCAGACTCCCTGTCTTCCGTCCTAGAATTTGCGCATCCAAGCCTTCCGCTTCCAATTCGTGACTTTGGTAGATGTGCCTCCAATCCGCCAGCATGTGGCACTGTGGCTTTAGGTTTGTCACTTCTGACCTTGGATTTCCTTCATTTGGAGAGCTTTGTGCCTTTGCAGGGAATGGCCCGATCAGGGTCCTTCTTGTCTGCGCTTACGTTTGTGTATCCCGGTTTGCCTTTGTTGGTGAAGCACATCCGCTTGGAATTCTTCACGCCAGCTTCTGGAAAATGCCAACTGGGTTCTCAACTAACCATCTCAGATCTTTGTGAGCAAGACTTCTCTCCTTCAACACAAAGGCTTGCCAAAGCAGACTCGTCTTTGCCTCTTTGGGACCTTTGCAAAGTTGGTTCCTTGTTGACTGCTAGGGCCTCTGCATATTTGGGTGTTGCCATTTCAGTGATCGGACTGGCTTGTATGCCTGAGATATTGTCAGCCTGTAATTTTGTGACCCTGGACTCCCCCTTATCCATCAGATACTTAAAGTGAGCTGGCCTTTCCTCCTCTACATTTGCAGGTTCCAGGGCAGGCTCATCTCTGCTGATTTCGGATTATGCTTTCTTGGCGGTATCCATGTCTTTGCAAAGAGGAGCTTGACTGGACTTGCCGCTTTCTGTGTCAGGAATGGGCTGCTTGGGCTTTTTGTTGTTGACTCTCAACTATGTGACCATTGGAAGCTTGCTGCCAATGAAAAGCATGGCATATTCTGACAGCTTGATGTCATCAATGGAACTTCTACATACAGGGTCTGCATTTTCACTCAGGCAATTGGCACATGTGGGACTTGGATATTCAAAGTTTGGATGCCACGGTCGCTTTGGCGTCCCCTTGTTTCTCTTGGACGCTGTGACATCGGGATTCTCCTCATTGCCACGAACCTTTTTTCAACCTGGTGAATCAATTTTGATTTGTGGTGCGGGATGCACAGGCACTGTACTGCCAGTCCTGGACCTTGGGTGTGTGGGCAGTACATTCTTCGTCAGGGGAATGGTGAACCTGAATTCGCTGTCCATTCACAACTACGGGATCCAGTGCCAGTGGGTCAACTGCGACAGCAGTTTGTCAGTCCGCAGCTTTAAGCTCTTTGGGTCCTTTTTTTCAATCTGGGGTTGCGCTAGAATTGAAGGGCTTCTGTTTGTTCTTGATCATTTGCAGCCTGGTCTCATACCATTGCCGAGGTCACATTCCAAAGTTGATCCAACGATGCTTATTTTTGATTTCCTCCATTTGGGATTTCCATTGGTGCTCAGGAACCCTGCATGTGTTGAAGTACCTTTGTTTTCTTTTGGATTTTCTGGTCTCGAATCGTTGGTTTTGCCACAAAGCTCCGCCAAGCTGGGCACTTTCCTTCTTCTCTTTGAAGGTGCTCGGCTAGATATGCTAACGCTTTTATGCGACTCTCACTCTCTTGGCACACCATCAGCACTGCAATCTTTTGCCTGTTCTGAATCCCTACTTTCGGTTTGGGACAACTTTGCATCGGGTAGCATTTTGCCGCTGCAATCCATTGTCTGGCTTGGCTTGGTGCTGGTTGTCTCAGGCAGAGGACTAGACTCCTTTGACTCATCTCTGTTTGTTCTTGATTCTAGCATTTCTGATTCCTTGCTATCGCTTCACAGACTAAGCAGGTGCGGTGCATTCATGTCATTTTTCCAACTGTCGCGCATAGACTGCATGATTCCAGCGCCTGATTTTTTGTGTTTGGAGCTCTCGCTGTCTCTGAGAAGCATGTCTTATGTGGAAGCCGTTGTGCCAGCCTTAGATCTTGCCAAGACAGACTCCTTTTTGCTTCTTCACACGCTGGCACAGCTTGACACTAGTCTGTTGGTTTCTGGCCTTGCGTGATTCGGGGCTTTTCTGCCAATTGTGGATATGAGCACTCCGGAAATCCCTCTTCCTGTGCACGCTTCTGCACGAGTAGGCACTTTGGCATTGATGGCCAGCAGTGTTAAAACTGAACTGACACCGATTGTTCTGGATCTTTTGCAACCTGATAGCTCCCTAGCAATAAGAAGTGCTTGCCACGTGGGCCCTTCCATCCTTCCCTACAGCTGTGCGCGCTTGGAGAGCCTGTTGTCTCTGCAGTCCTCCGGATAACTGGGCAGTTCCCTTTTGCTGTGCAAGACACTCCACCTTGAGTTGCTTCTTTTTGCCTTGAGTTTTTGTCAGGCTGAAAGTTCAACGCCATTGAAAAGCCATGCTTATGCAGGGTTGTTCACGTTCCTTCTGTCCCGCTTTTCAGGAAACTCCCTCCTTGCATTTGATTTTGTCAGCTTTGCACCCTCGATTTTTGCACAAGGCCATACAAGAACCGGCGGCACAATGGATTTTGAAAAGGTCAGAGAGTGGAAACTTGAGCTCTTAGAGCTATCACACTACTACAGACAAGGCTTTTTGTTACCATTGCAATCTTTCGCGCAACTAGGATCCAGCATTTTGACATTTGCTCGCCTGAGGTTTGATTCCTTTATGTTTATTCTGGACTCTGCAAACCTCGGAGTACCTTTGAGCTTGCAAAGTCCTTTCTGTCTTGATCCGTTCTCGTTATCAAGTGGTTGCTCCTGGTCTGACTCCGTGGTGCTAGTTCTGGACTTTTTGCACTTGGACGCGATGTCATTGCCAAGAGGTCCTGGGCAGGCCGAGTCTGCAACATTCGCTTCGGCATTTTCACATTTGGCACCTTTTCTGTTGTCAAGGAGCACCTCATGATCTGAAGCTTTGATTCTGATACTTGGCTGCCTGAGGTGTGGACCAGCGACGCTGATTCCAGGCCCTGTGACTTGTGACTCTTCACCTTCACTGCGAAGCTTTCCTAGACCCGGAGTTGTTCCGCCAGCAATAAGTTTATCGAACCTAGACCTCTCACCATTCTTGCGCCGCTTTGCTCATTTGGGCAGCCCAGTCTTTCTGACCAAGTGCCACCTTGGACTGACAGTGTTTGTCCCGGATTCTCTACACCCAGACGCTTTGGTTTTCTTACGAAGCTTTTCTTGGCTTGATGCTGGATTGCTGATTTGGGATAGTGTCAATCCCGGAGCTCTCCCGCCAGCACGCCGACCTGTGCATCTTGATGCATCCATGCTTTTAACTTCTGCTCTCCGGCTGGCAACTTTGGCACCAGCTCTAGGAATGTCGTCACCCGGATCATTTCTACCGCTACGTGGACCTTCTCAAGTGGGTCCACTCACATTTGCATGCTCCTTCTGCCGGTCTGAAGTCTTACTTCCAACACCAGATTGCTCCTTCGTGGAATCTTTGTTGCTTTTGCACAGGTGCAGAAGTTTTGAAGCACTATTGTTGCCCGTAGGATTTTATCGCCCAGGGGTGTCGGTGTTTGTGTACTCGTCTCTTCTTGGACTGCTCCTTCCCTTGCAGAATCTTTCGCATCCAGATCTATTGCTCCCGGTTTTAAAAGGTCTACAGTGTGAAATGCTATTGCCAGTGCTTGACTTTGCCGGTCTTGCCTTGCCGTTGCCACCAAAATCATTGCTTTGACTTGAACTTCCTATGTTTCTTGGCTGTCTCAGTCTAGACATCCTGGCTCTGGTCTTGGATTTTCTTCAACCAGGAATGTTCCTGCTGACAAAGAGCTATGCAAGGGCTGGCTTTGCCACCTCAATCTTGAACACTCAAAGACCTGGAATCTTTCCGTCTCTTCGCAGTCTTGCCAGAGCAGATTTGCCGCTCTCTTTGTCTAAGTTTGCGCTCGGTACAAACTTGTTTGCTCCGGATTGTGTGTGTGTGGGCCCTTTCCTTCCCCTGAAGGCATTTTCCCGTTCAGAGCCTTTTCTGCTGCCCTTCGGCAAGGCTGTTTTGGGACTGCCAATGACCATTATTGATAGTGCAAAGTCAGATTTTGTTTTGACCCTTCGGAGCTTTGCACATTTGGGAACTCTGTTGGCTCTTTTTTCCGGCAACATGGACTTGCTGTTGCCACCTTTGGATTACAGTTGCCTTGGACCTGCTCCACCCCTTCGATCCTCCTCGTGACTCGACCCAATGCCACTGCCTTTGGGGAAAGGACTTATTGGTCATGCTTATTCTGTTCTGGATTTGGCCAATTCTGAAAGCATGGTACCACTGCGGAATTTTCTTTGCTTGGGCTTCGCATTTTTGCTTTCCGGCTGCCTTTGCTTGAGTTTGTCTTTGTTGGTCTTGGACTTCCTGCACCTAGGCTTCCTTTCATCGTTACAACAACTCAGCTGTGTGGGTGCCGCCTCTTCTGTTCACAGCGGTCTTGGCTTTCCTTTGCCTGCTCTCAAACTTGCCAGTCTTGGTGCTTTGCCGTTACCTCAAAGCACACTTTGTCCAGATTCCTTGCTGCTCTTTTCTGGCAAGATTTGCTGCGACTTGTTACCAGCCATCCTGGACATTTCGCACATAGACTTCCCGACAGTGGCTTGACAGACTTGGGTTTAGTGTGAGTTGCTTGAAGAATATGTACATTGCCTTGAAACAGGCTTGATTGGAACGCCTTTCAACATTATCCTAGCTTGAATTGACTTCTAGGCAGTGCTTTGCTTTTCTAGGCTGTTCCGGCTGTTCCCACTTTCTGGATGTTTTTGATATCAGGAAAGGTGAAGGTATGTCAAAGCATGTCCAAGCATTTTCACAGAACCTTGTTGGCTTAGGTGCTCCGAGCTTCTTCCTGACTGGAGTTGCCCATTCCACCCAGCAAGATTCCCAGCGTTGATTCCCCGAAGCAGCCTTCTACTTACCATGACCTTGCCTTGGCCAGGTGTAAGTAGAATTGGTACTTCTTTATTTGTGCGTCTCTTAGAATCTGGGTGGCCATGCAGCCATGTCTAAGCCGAAGAATTACATACATTGAACCTGAATTTGAAGGCGACAGACCTTTCCAACCTCGAAGCCTTTCCTTTGGCCGCTGGCTTGGAAGTCTGGAATGCTTGAATTCATCACATTTCATCACCAGCTATCCGAGGTCAGATCGGTTGCGTTTGGAACGACAACTTTCGTTTTTAGTATGACCTGGTCAGAAAGCCTCTCATTGGTGTCAGGCTCCCAGAATCAGAACACACTAAAGTCATACGTATGAGTCCGGCAGTCCAAGTAGTCCAAGGCTGCAGTGGAGCCACACAGGAAGTTCGCCATTCGCTCAAACACTAGCGCATTTGGATTCCAATCTTTCTATCTGCTTTCCAGCTCTGCACTCAGGGCGTGTCTTTTGGCATATTCTTTTTCACTCGACGCCCAGAGCGAGCTTGCCACAGTTTCATGCTTCAGGGGAGATATCTTGGATTTATTCCACGATCTCCCTTCTCGGTGCGTGTATCTCGGCACGGCCACTGGCAGTTTTGTTTCTCACTTTCTTCATTGTGGAATGTGGAGTCTTCAGACTGAGTGTAAATCATGTATTGTACTGCAACATGCTTGGCAATCGCTCCCATCCTGTTGTTTTAGAACCGTCTAAGGAATTTGTGAGAATGGGTGCAAGCCTCTTTGTCATGTCATCAGCACGTTTCGATCCACTCATGATGGTGTTGGACTTTCTGAGCCCCTCGGCTTCGAAAGGTGTGCAGCCCTTTTCAAGCTATATACTGTATAATAGGCACTATTACTATAAAACAAAAATGAAAAAGGGAAAATATGAAGGTAAGGACAGGACCCCTTGAATAATTCTCAGTCTTTCTCACTTGACCCTATTTTTCAAGTCTTTTCTTGAAGAAGGCTGTGTTGATTTATATATTTGTTTGCTTACTGGAAATGTATCGAACATGGAGCACCCCAGCTTCTTCAGGCCTGGAATTGTTTTTGTTCCCTCAAAGCCCTTCGCAGCTGGATTTCATTGCTTTGGTGGGGATGCCAAGAGCCTGCTGATTTTCCAGAGGGTGTAGACAACTGTAGTAAGACTCAATGAGATATTTTGACATGTTCTGATTGCAGTGCTATTACTCTATGACTCTATGAGTGAAATTTTGTGTATGACAGGTGCTCTCTTATGCTCGTGCGGATCCTTTGCTGTTTCCTCAAGGCCGTCGTGTTTCACAGACTTTGCCGTTATTCGGAGTTTTGCTGGTCTGGCCGCAGGTTTGATACAACTTGGTGATAGCCCCAGAAATCTGTAGTTTTTGCTACAGCTTGCCACTCATACCCAACCTATCCTATCACCCTGTCATATTGAGATCTATTGAAGGCTTTGCTCTACCTGCTTGTGGCCTGGTGAAATTGAGCAGCACCCTATTGGCTATGGACAGTGTTTGCAGACGTCTCAGCTTCCCAAAGTGAGGAGGTTGCTGACAATTCCGGGAGGACTATTTGTGTTTTTTTTGGGTAATTGAGACACATTTGGCCGTTGTATGGTCCATGCTTCAGGCATTCCTCCCACGGCACAACTGTTGATGAACCCTTGGACAATCAAGTGGGCGAGAGACTTACTGTAAACTGCAAGCCCTTTGAAGGTTTTTGAAGATGAAAGAGAACACTAGCCCGACTAGACCCTAATCCATCATTGAATTATCAATTCTTGGTTTCTAAGGACAACACTGCAAGTGAACTTCAATTCTCCACTGGATCCACGAAGGCTCCTGGCATCCACAGCCAGATTCCAGCCTGCATTGCTTTCCAATCGGCTTTTGACAGGTGCTTGCAGTTAGCTCATCAGGAGGCTAAGTTGTTTTTTTGTCTTCACGAGTCAGACTGCCGTTCCGGTGAGTTGGTTTCATACCAGGCAGTCTACATGGCACCTGGCATTCTGAAAGCATTATCAGTGCTTCAGACCATCGCCTGAAGAGAGAGGCAACAACCGGATATAGGAATGCTCGCAAGCCGTTGTGGTCTATCTACATTTGTTGTACCTATGCCTTGTAGATGACTCATGCAATGTATCCTTCGTTCATATTTGCTCATGATTCTGCTTTTATCTCCAGTGGGGTCGGGTGGCAGAAATTCCGAAAGAGATGAGTTTGAAAGACAGCAATCTCAAGGGATTGGGTGACCTTTGAAGTGAATCCCAGCCTGACCCATTCGTTGTTCAAGCAGACTGTATCATAATGATGTGGAGTATTCACGTCGCTTCGCGACGGTAACCGCCCGCACCGCATGGAAGGGGACAATATTTCCACCGAACATAGCGCCGGAAGTGATCCCCTCCCGGTCATCATGGCCCAATGTAGTTGGAGGGTTAAAAGACTGCTACCGGCAGTAAGGAACACGATCTGGAAGGGGGTCTTGTGCTCATGGAGCCAAGGGAGTCAGTGTGAAAGGAAGATAGGGCCTTGAACGTCGCAAATCGAGGTGTTTTTTCGCAAGGTAGCTCAAGATCGCGCAATTCGGCTCAATAGGAGTAGAGACAAGCAGAGATAAGGTCAAGTAGCGGTAACGGTTGTCCTAACGTGGCCCGACATAGTGACTTCTGGGATTATGTTCGACCATATGGGAGCTATGCTTATGAGATAATGTTACCGTTCCTAAACCGGATCTGCACACCTTAAGATAGTGCCTTCGGGGGCTATGTGCGACCAAAAAGAAGCTATGCTCGTGAGAAAATGTTACCGTTCCTGAACTTGATCTCTCTTTATCTCTGCTCCTGTCAAGCCACTTCTAAAGCTATGCCAGGCAATATGGAAGCTATGTTTGGCCACGTTAGGAGGGTTTTTTTATTCCAGTTTACGACGTTCAAGTCCCTATCTCGCAGACACGTCCTTTAGATAGTGCCTTCGAGCGCTCTGTTAGGCAATATCTTCACGCTATTCCAGTCCCTTTGGAGCCTTCGTTAGACCATGTTTACGACGTTCAAATACCTATCTCGGCGAAGCATACTTAAGATAGGGACTTCTGGGGTTATGTTCGACGATATGGGAGCTATGCTCGGGAGATAATGTTACCGTTCCTGGACCTGACCTGCTTATCTCTGCTCCTGACCAGCCACGTACCCGGACGTTCAAGTCCCTATCTCGCAGGCATGTCCGTTAGATAGTGACTTCTAGGGTTATGTTACGTACCGCTCAGATGATGCAGATGATGCAAAGCAGAAAATTGCATTTCTTGCATCCCTAAAGGCTTCAAGATACCCAACATTAGCACGAAAGCACTTTAAGCCGGTTCCAAAAACGTGAAAAACACAGGATTCTAGAGCGAAAATGGCCCCCCCCCTAGCTAAAGCTACAGTAGTACTGGCGGTACTTAGGAATCACGCGTGCCCTATAAAACGCCTCAGCACCTTCGGTGCGGGCGGATTTTGCTGTGACCTCATACTGTACTATTTGTCGTGATTTGGGACGATGTCTCCGCGCAAGTAGTGTAGCATGGAACCGCACCGCACAGCCGTTTGATCCAGCTTTCGATCCACCACCGCAATCCATCAATAACTCAAAGCGACCACGCTGTCCAGTGGGAACTGGGTTGCTTGCCGAAATGCACCTGTTTCCATCCAGGTTCTTTCACAGCCAGACCTTTAGACATTTTTGTGTTTTCTTTTGTTTTTGCCCTTTACATTTATGTTTTTGTTCATCTTTTGTTTTGTTGTTCCCTTGCGGCGACATTACGGCCACGTGCGACGTGCAAAACGTGAGCACCTTTAGCAGCATTGTTGAGAAGAATCTCAGACGCCGCATTAAGTTTGTAGAACTTTCTGGGATTGCATTTAAAAGCTACTAGTAACAAAGGGCATCGCTACTAGGAGCAAGGAAGCTACTAGTAGCTCCTGGCCTTACTACTAGGAACAAGGACGCTAATGATTTCTCATAACCTGTGGTCCCCGCTGCGACTTCTTTGAGTCTGGCGTTGAGTCCTTGAGCCGGTGGCAATATTAGGATTGACAGACACGTTTTCCCTGTCTTTTTTGTCTCTCTCTCTCTCTCTCTTTCAAGCTGAGTTGGATGTATGCAAATCTGTAGGCATCTACCTTTCTGTAATCGCATACTGGAAGGTGGAGCCGCTTCACAGATCTTTGAAAGGCTGGCATCAAGAACGCCTTGCAACTTTGTGCAACTTGCTTTGCAACGTACAGGTGAACTCGGTGAACTACCTGCAAGGCCAGACGGAATCGCATCCAGTTTGCTGCGCACCTTGGCCTTGCTTCTTTCATCGACCAAATGCAATGTTTGCTTCACATCAAATGCAATCAACATCCTAAACTGCTAATGCAAAGCATGTCAGAAGTAGGAAAACCTGTCAAGCATTAAGACAATGCTGATACTGCAAGATGCAGAACAAAACACTTGCAGTGCTATATAAGTTTCGCACAGAAGGTACGATGGGACCTTGAATGATAAACGTATTGTCTCGGTGCCTGATGCTGCCACCGAGACCAAGAAAAACAGAACTCTGGCGAGCCAAACTGTGAAGCAGTCTGACAGAGACAGCATTCAACAAAATATTTTGGGAGCCCATCAAGTTTGCATTGTGTTGTGGTGACTTGGTAACAAGGACTTCTGGCCCCGATGTTGCCTTCTCAGTTCTAAGTGGCCATCGTGTTATGCAGTTTGTTATTGAGCACAATATTGAGATTGTGCAATGAATGCAATCTTGTTCCAACGCAAGCTTTGGCTTGGTTGCATGCCTTTCAGGCCTGGATCTGGACTTCAGCTGCAGGTACCAGAAGGGATCATCGTATTTTAGGTTTTGACAAGGCACATATATAGATTATATTATAAACATATGCTCACCCCCCATGATCTACCGTTTCAGCTCTTCCCTCAGCTCTTCTATCTTTTCCTGCTTGTCAGCTGCTTTTCTGTACTCGGCTACCCCCTATGTGGAATAGATTTTTGCAATACTTTGACAAGATTTAAGAAGGGAGTTAAAAAGAGATCAACTGCTGTAAAGAGCTTGAGGGGTAATCAAAAGACATCAAACCGAGTTAAAAGGATGTCAACCAAAAACAAAAGGAATTAACATAGGTAATCAATAAGAACAGCAAGGGAATTCCAAAGAAGGAATTCACACATAAAGATCAAGGAATATGAAAAGTGTTGACGTGATTGCAGGGGATGTTATTATGAAAGCCAAACAGGGCAAAAACTATTATTGCAGGGGGTCAAGTTACTGTATAGTGTTCAAGATTTCTAGTGTACTGGGCTAACCCAAACTTATTACAGAATTTCAAAGGACATCAAGAGGAATCAAACGGACTTCAATTGGACATAAATTGAAATCACCCAGAATGTAAACAGAACTCATTAGAATTGAAACGGATTAGTGCTACAAATCTGCTGATTTTAACTTTTTCTTTAAATGCCTTATATTTCACATATTTAAACGTGCTAAAACATCATATTTTTGTATAGTCATTTTTGATCAGAAACCAAAAAAACAAATCAATATACAAAAGACCAAAAAGCACATATTTTGTCAGAAAGTTTGGTTTTCAACTTTTTTTTGTTTTTGGATTGTATTTCTGTTGGACTTCTTTTGTTTATTACTTGTGAATTAAACGAACCACATTCACTACTTTGGAATTAAAAGACACACATACTACTAACTTGCCAATCTGAGACTAACAACAAATAAGCAAAAACCAACGACAGAAAACACAACACATAGCATAAAACCACACTTCCCGAACAATCTCTATTTTGTTGGTTTTTGTTATCTTTTTCTTTTGTTGGTATTTTTTAGTTTTTGTTTTTTTTGGTGTTTGTGTTTTTGCTTTTTGGTCAACAAAGGCTAAACATAGGTTTTTAGTATACGTTTAAATATCTATACAGCATGTTACTAGTTACTAAAAAATCAGGTTTTAAGTATTTTTTTGAACATGCATTTGTAGTCGTCAGCTAATGAGGAGCACTGATGTTTGATATGGTCAAAAAATAGCTTTTGCATGGGCAGGCCAACAGAAAACAGCTCTAGGTAGATCATGGAGGGTCCAAACATATATATATATAATAAAATAAAATAAAATAATATAATATATATACACATACACGGCTCAAGGCTCAAGCTGTTTAGCCTCAAGCCTTGTGGCTGCCAGCCACAAGGGGACCAGACCTACCCCACCCCTGCGGAGCCAGACGGCCTGTTCGCAGAGGGCCTAGTGATCTACCATGGTCTCTGGCAGCAGCTTTTGCAGGTCTTATACTGTATGTGGCGGAGACAGGTGCTTCAACTGGATCTGGTCTGATAAGATCAGAGAGGGCTACATGTGCCGACGCTGCGGAGTTCAGTGGCCTCGACCTCCTCAAGGGTTCTCCACCACCCCATCGTCACGGTCACCCAAGCGGTCTGGCAGACAGATGCCCTTGACACCTCCGCCTGGACTGGGCCAAAAGCCCCACAAGATGACCAAGATCCAGAAAGCAACGGCTGAGGCCTTAGGTCCGGGTTGGACCACTTTGGACTCTGCTCTACAGCAAAGGCTGCAAGATCTGGGCATTCAGCCCCCGCCGCCTTCTCCAGGTCCAGACTTGAAAGACGTCCTGCTGGAGAACATGGCTCAACTCCCTCCTCAGGTCAAGGAGTTGGTTGAGAAGTTGACCAAACCCTCACCTCCCACGGAGCAGGACGTGACATCCAAGTTGAAGACGCAGGTTTCTTTGATCAAGGACCTCTCCCACAAGAAGTCCAACCTTCAAACGAAGATTGATGCCACCAAGAGGTCCTACCAAGAGCTGTTGGAGGAGATGAAAGCCATTCAAGGCAAGATCGAGGCTGAGCAACAGGCTTTGACAGCCACCAGTGCATCTTACATGACCTTGGTCAATTCAGCAAAGCCTGATTTTGCTGGTTTGCCGGAAGCGGATGCTGGGGATCCAGTCCCAGCAGCTGTGGCAGGCTTCATTAACACCCTTGGTGTCAACCTCACCGAGGAACAGCAGGACCAGCTTCAGAGCATGTTGAAAAGGCCAACGACGCAAGACAGCAGCCGCTGAGGAGCAGTCTTGTGGGTAACCCCACACTGGCGCTTGAGCCTTTCAGCAAACTTCACTTGGGGCAATGGACATGGTGTGATCAACATGTCAGGGTTTTTCCTTTCGATTGTGGGGTTTATCACAATCAACTTTCTTTTGATGGCACTCCGGGCTCAAGTTTGAGCTTGTGCGGGGCCTGGAGAGCTATGGGCCTCGTCGACGACGACCTTCTCTGAAGGTCTGTGGGGTGGAGTTCCACCCGACGCACCGGGCTCAGGAGTTCGAAGGGAGGCACTGTGTTCTTCTACCTCAGAGCAGACCTTCACTGGTCCTGCTTCCAACAGGACCTCCCCCAGGACTCCTTCGGCCCAGGTGCTCCTCACAGCTATGGAAGTGGAAGAGGATTCGGCCCTCACGGAGGCACAGGTCTTTCTCTATGACTTGTGCCAAAAGGATGTTTTGGCTTCTTGCCAGCAGTACAGAAATATGGTCAGCCCAAGACATGGGCAGCAAGTTTTGGCAGATCTTAGACGCATGCAAAACATCGCGCAGCGGCACCTCAGACTCCCAGGGGACACTAGACCACCTCTGGCCAATGTTTATGTGGTTTCTCAGGTGCTTACCTCCATTTTGCTCAACAGAATCTTTGCTTTGGAAACGCGCCCTTTCGATGCTGGTCCTGGACAGGGGCCTTTGCTGATGACTCAGCTCGCGCTTGGGGTCACACCCAACAGGCTGTCAGGGCCTTCCTGGGAGCGCCTGAAGGCCAAATCCTCGCGAACCTGGCAAAGCTTCGAGACCTTTACACTCACTTTGAACAGGGCAGACAGGCGGACGCCTCTGACTTTGTGGGTTACCTTTGGGCTCAGTCACGCTCCCCCTTCTTTGGGGGCAAGTTCTTCCACCGCAGGCTTCAAGGCAATGGAAGTGCGAGAGCAGATGCCGCTGAACATCATTTTCCCGGAAGGGGACGCTCCCATGTCCCTCGATGAATTGATCTCCAGCTGGGCGGATGAAGATGGTGGTCAGTACCTGTATGGTGCCCCGGAAGCTCTTGTTCTGCAATTGCAGAGATCTCAGCTTCTCGATGGAACCTGGACCAAACACTCCAGAGGAGCTTGATTTTGGATTGGACATCAATTTGCCCTTTTCTGAAGACGGCCAACATGTCCACATGGCAGCATACCGCATTGTTGCCCTGGTCACTCACCAAGGGATGGACCACCACACTGGGCACTACCAATCTCTGCTCCTCATGGACAATGCTATATGGTTGGCGGATGATGACCAATATCCAGCACTCACCCAGCAACATCGAAAGGACGTCCTTCAATTGTGGCTGGTCAAGGAACCTGAAGATGAATTGGCCCCGGACACCCAGGCAGACTATCAAGCTCCTCCCAGCAAGAAGCAGCGACAGAGTCATGAAACGATGACTCTTCTCTTTGGCAACGTCACTCACTTCGGAACCATTGGATGTGGACGCGTACTGATGCCATGCTCTTCCTTCACGAAGCTCACATGGGAGAGTCAGCCGCCCAGGAGGCCATCCAGTACTACTCCAACAAGGGCTGGAAGGTAGGTGGCCAAGCGGCCCATCCTACGGGTGGCACTTCTGGAGGGTTTTTGACCTTGCACTCCACCAAGCACCTCACCCATCAGGCGGCGGAGTTTCTTCATGAAGGCAACGGATGGACTGCCATTGGTCTCCATCGACAAGGCGCCCTCATCTTTCTCATCCAGATCTACCTTAAGACTGGTGAAACTTTGCAATCTTCCAGCAACTCCCTCATCCTCAGCAAGCTGATGGCCTTCCTCCACCACCTGGGGGGCACCTTTCATCATTGGGGGTGACTGGCAGAACGAACCTGAAGCCCTTGCAGCCACCGTCATTCAAAGCAAGTTCAAGGCCACTATCGTTGACACTGCAGGCTGCGCGACTCTGCAGGGCAGCCAGATTGACTATCTCCTGGTTTCCACAGTCTTGGTTGGGGCGATCGCTTGGAAGCCTGCTGGGACGTGCCCTGGAGGCCACATTGTGCACTTCAGGTCTATCTTGACTGTGATCAGCCGGCTCAACCTGTTCAACAGCTGCAACGGTTTCCTCCCATTGGCAGGACCTTTCAGCTTCCGCACCAGTGGACCAGTTTCCAAGAAGACAACGGGCCTTTCCACATCTTGGACACCCTCATCACTGGCTTGGGAACTGACTTCGCTCGATGGGCCACCCAGACTGAGAAGTATGTCACCCAGATGCTTCACAAGCCTGTACTGGGTCGTGGTTCCCATGCCTCGCTGATCACGGCTCCTCTGGTGGACGCTACTACGTCCAGGAAATGGCTCAGGGGTACTGTTGCTTTCTGGGAAAAGCTGAATGTCAGAATCAATGTGGTCCACAACACGGGGCATGGGCCCCTACAAGCGCTACAAGCGTAATTACTTGTTGGACTATGATTTTGACTTGTCTGATGGCAAAGCTTGGAAGCGCACAGGGAATGAAGGAATACCCGATTGCGCCCTCAAGCTCGCAGACTGACTGCTGGCCGGAGCTCCTCCACAAGCTCCACACCGACTTCCGGTGGCAACGCCTTCTTCGTTTGGCAAGGTATGAAGGCTGCCACGACTCTGCAGAAGATGTCTGAAGAGCGCAATGGACCTGCTTTGCGAGCATTGCGCCAGGGCACTTTCCACAGACAGGAAGGCCAATGCCCACTCTGCGGGGAGGCGCTCACCTTCGTTCACCTTCTATGGCAATGCAGGTACTGGAAGGGCAAGGTCAAGGACATTCCTGACCAATGGAAGGAGCGCTTGGCTGTGGGCACTGAACCAGAGCTATGGCAGCGAGGATTGGTGCAATCCATTTTCTACGTCCAGGAAGGGGGAATGGGCACCTTTCACAATGAAGGCTTGTGGACTGCTGAAGCGGCCTATGACATCCCACCGGGGCACACCATTTCCTTGGCGGTGGCTCCCACCTGCAAGGACGTCAGACACAAGCGGTTTGTCTTCGTCTTGTGCATGCACCAGGTCTTCTCCAAGAGGTGCGTCACTGTGCTCAAAGGCATCTGCCCAGGGCAAGCCACCAGGGCCAGAGCTTTGTTCTATGGCCATCTTGCTTTGCGCAGCAAGGAGAAGGTCCATGTCGCCCTCTATGACCATGCGGTGTGAGCCAACTTTGGCCTATGAACGCTTCCCTGACCTGTACCAGAGCCTGGATCCTGAGGACTTTGTGCAAGTCCGACCTTTGCTCTTTGGCAAGAAGGAGATTCAGTCCAATGTCAACCGCAAGGCCTTCCAAAAGGAAGCTGAAGCCCTGGCCAAGAGCTTTGCCAAGGAATCCAGAAATGAAGAGATCATGGAACTCCAAAGGCACATAGACGAGGAGGGATGTCTTGAGTGTTGCAGCCTCTCGGATGAACATCTTGATGAAGGACCGGAGCCACTTCTTGCATCGTGAGACCACTCCTGAGTCCCAGCGTAAAGTGCCCTTGGTCCAGCAGAAGAGGAGCTCCTCAAGCAGTTTGAATCCAGGCCTGACATGGGAGGACACTCTTGGGAAGTTTTCAGATCTGGCGTCCAATGCTCTCAGTGCCGCCAACGTCTTCATGCCAAGAGCTTGATCTCCGACCTCCGGGCGGCCATGGGTTCCACTTGTGAAATGGCTGCGCCCAAATCTCAGAGCAGGAAGACGAGGTTTGAAGTCATTGGCGACCTCATAGCTGCTCAGGAAGGAGTTCAGCCAGGAGTGCACCACCTGAAGCTCGCAGAGGAGCTCAGGTACGCTGCACCAGATGTGGAGCCGGCAGCAAGATTCGAGACCAACAGGTCAAAGGATCTGAGGGCAATGTTTTCGAAGTAGCACCCAATAGCTCAGAAAAGGCGCGCAAAAAAAATATATACACATACACATGCACTGTATACATACCAGTTGCGAACAGGCTCAGATCCCCTCTTTTTTTGGTGAATTTTGCAAAAACTGGGGGTTGCCACAAGTGATCAAGCCGACCACACGCGAGCAGCCGCTTGTCGCGGTGTAACTCGGCGGACCACCTGAATATTCACCTATACTCCTATACGCGCCTGCCCAAAGTGCACACGTAAAGTGTAAAGCGCATACAGAATGCACCGTTTGCATTGCAATTCTCGAGCTGAAGCAGGCACGCGATCGTGTATCCCCCAAATGCTATAATTTTTTGGACTGGAAGCAAGCACTGGCCACAGTCGAGGCAAAGCCTGAACATACTTGTATGGTTGCGCTAGGTCGAAGGCTATAGTATATAGGAGTTTAGGATTGCTTGGCAGGCATCAGAGCATGCTTTCCAAGCCTTACCTGGAGTGGTGCGAGAGGTTGCTGGCAAGGCTGGAAGAGGTTTGTACTCTTGCACAGGATGCACATCGGTGTGCACAGCCATGCATTCTGATTTGTAGTTGAATGTTTGCCTCGGTATGTCTTGCTAGAGTGAGGTGCTGAACAAGTCCTCAAGCTATATTATATAACTGGGCTGGCATAAAAAAGGGCACTTCACAACAAACACATGCACGCCTACCCAAAGGCTCTAAGGTTCCCAGTTCAAGATGTTGATGCTTCAGGATGGCAGACACTTTGGTATCTCGTACCAGGATTTGCTTGCAGCCTTTCCCTCAACATTCCAAAGCTGGTCCGACACAATCTTACATGCTTGTACTCAGGTCATCGCTCTTGCTGCGCAGGACGAATGGTCTAAACACCCTTGACAGTATACTTTGGGAAGTCAAACAGCTGACTGACATGGCAAGCGTTGCTGAGCATGCTTTGTAAGATTTCGTGATATTGATCACTCGCCTGAAGTGAATGGCAATATAGAAATATATACTGTACAAGTAATTTGTATAATGTATTGTTTACAGGTGTGAAGCAGTTTCTCGCATGTCTTCAGGAGCGTGAGCAGCACTTGCGAACACTTGAGGCTGTTGGAAGCAGTTCAATTCAGCTCTAAGTCTTCATACAAGTATGTTGGTTGATGCTGTGTCTTCCAAGACCCGCAAGCTCAATTACCCCGAAGGCGCAGGAAGCCTTTGAACTCAAGCAACAGGATGAGCAGGAGGGCTTGATCCAGGTCTCGGACCTGGCGGACAAACAAACCGCCAGCGCATTGGTTCTTATTGCACCTTGTTCTTCGGCACCTTCCTGAGGCACTCTTAAAGCAGATCGAGCAGTTGTCGACTCGCTTCGCCGTGCTAAGGCAGTTTGTGCCAAGATTTGTTCTGCATGTCGAAGTACTTACCTTGATCGCTAGTATGTTGGAGGCCATCCGTACTAGGTTGTTTTGCTTGTATTCTCAGGCACGGAAGCAAGACCAGATCTCTTCAGCTGTGACTTTCACTGCTGCAATACGCAGCAGTTCACGTCGAATGTCATTTTAAACTTATAGAGGAGCTTCATTTGATTGCTCCTGAGGTCATGGAAAGGGGAGTCCCGTCATGTCGAAATCCATTTGTGTGCTTTCTTAAATTGTTAAAGAAGATACACATGTTTCCAAAAGAGTCAGGCCATGGAACCGCAGTCACAAGATTGGGACATGAAGCCTTGTTGTTTGCAAGAGCTCTCGAAGAGATCTGAAGAGACTCGCTCCAAAGCTGTGTGAAGACCTTCATCAAAAGGAACCGACAGTCCAAAGCAATCGATCCTTCATGTTTGTTTTTGGTATTCCTCTGCAACAATGGACTTTGATGTAAGATCTGATCTACTTTGTGTGATTGTTTGATGCATGCGCTTCAGCTGATCATTTTGGGGCGGCTACCACCGCCGTTTTGCGGACTGTCAAGGCCAGCCGAAATTTTCTTCATTGGCTCCAGAACCTTGTGAAATCAACCTGATCTCAAGCTTCTCCTGACACTTACTCTTACGATTTGTGAAGAGCTTTGTATTTGTGATGCTTGATTTCGTGTGTTGTTGTTTGTATCATTTCAATTCTACACGGCTCACTGCTGCCAGTACGTTTGTTGCCCAGGGCCAATACCGCAATGGCCAAAAAGGACAGTGGAAAGTCAGTCCTGGATTTGGAGAGGCCTTGCTGTGCAACTCCAACAAAAATTACTGTTGAAAACGTCTTGCCTTGAGTTGCTAGGAGTACTGCAGGGTACAACACGCACGAAATCAATACTCTTTCGATATCCTTTTAGCATTGTGGGTACCTTTTACCTTGGAGGTACTTGAACCAGCCAGTGAAAGTCAAGTTCACTGGCGGGCGGGAAGTAAAAGGAATTTTGAAAGGCCAGCAGCTGAATGCAGTCAAACCAAAGCATACCACCAATGAATGCCAATCACTTGAACATGAACCAGTTTTGGAAGGACACGACGCAGTTGCAAATTTAGTGCTGGACGACGTTCAGGAGCAACTTTCATTTCAGCCTGTTTCCACAAAGCTCAATGGACTGTGCTGGAACTTCAGGAATATTTGCGAGACCCTGAAGACCCCTACAAGGCTCTGCGGTTTCCTCTCTGAATCAGAACTGCGCTTCATACGTCTGTGTACTTTTCAGGTCTCTGATGAGACTAGGACCCTGGGCTTGGTGGTCGCGCGAGGTACCTCAGCCAAGGCCTCGGACACTCGGACATTTTCATCAGCTCCGAGCAACAGTGAGCAAAAAAAAGTTAGACATTTTGTCATGGCCTTTATATGCTTTGGTCATGCGGACACTGGACTTTGCTGAAGGTCATGCTGATTTGTCCTGTGGATGGAACGGAGGAAATCGCCAATCCTTTCGCAAGTGCCTAGGTTGGGGATGTTGTTGCATCGTGAAGTCCAAAAGCATTCTGATAGATAGACTTAGACATAGTCGGACGTATTTAGGCAATAAACTTCTTGAATTTGGTTAGCTTGGCTTTCGGGGATCCTGCCACATTGGACTTTATTCAAATGGCAGAAGCCATCCGCTCAAAGAGGCAAATCGCACCTGCAAGATGAGCTCTGAATGAGCTCTGACTGCAACTGTGTGGCGTGGCATGTTGCAGGTGCAATTCAGAGCTTCTGAACCGGCCAAAGAGAGAAGCAAGGCTGTGTGCAGAGAGATATGTGAGATGCAGGGCGCATCATGAGAGCTACAAAGAGGCAGTATGTCACACTATGTTCCTCAGAATCTATTTCACAAGTATTTGGCACACCTTAGAAGTGACGTGAGATTTGAGTTTAAGTGGCTCAAGAAATGCATTTCTCATTGGTCATGAGTAATATGTACTTGATCAGGATTGATTTCTGCGGGACAAGAAGCGAGTAGTCAACCATGAATGAACCTGTAGCTAAACAATATAGAGCTTTGAACCTTGTCAAAGCAGCTCAAAACACACAAGCGACGGTGAAAAGAGGCATTTGGGAGCTGCAGTCGTTTGTTTCATCATAACCCGCAAGCTTGACAGATCAGATTGGCAAAAGTATCCGACAATGTCTCTGACTCTAATTGCTCAAGCTCTACCCAATGGACTCTCAGGACTCTAATGTCAAGTGGTGCATGTTGTGTTCTGAGGAGGCGAAGCGTCGAAGCGTGTTGTCTGAGGAATTTCATGGTGAAGAAGCCCTTGGTGTGTTCTCACAATCTGCCCTTGATCCCAATCCTCTTTGCGAGGCGTTGGCCTTGGCATCCTCAGATCTTAACACATCCCACTGTTGTCCACTATGAAGGCCAATTGCAAGCGAGGCCCCTCCTGGAGCCGTGCCCCAGCTGCTTGTTCCTGTTTGAGAATATGCAAGGAGAGCTCAGAAAGCTTGAGCAGACTGGACAGGTACCTTCACAAGGTACAGAAGCATGGTATGCTGACTATGATCTCAGCCTCCGTTTGCCACTCAGAGCTAAAGGATTCGGCGGTGAAATGCAGGCTAGCGTCTAGTGTCTAAAAACCTGCGCATATTTTGTGCAGTTGCCACTAAACAGCTTGCCAGTCCAGTCTGTTTTCAATAAACATATGATATATCAATATCAATCATTGTTGGACCATTATGAATATGTATATATATATATGCATATAGGTGTATATATATATATAATATGTAAATGTAAATATGTATATGGTGGCAAGAATCCCAAGGGCACCACGAAAGAAGAATAAGACCAATCGCGGGACAAAGGATGTCGAGGTCTATACCGTACCCTCAAGAAAGATGAGATGCCCTACTTGAGACCATTCCAAGATAGGCCAGGAAAGAAAGGCTGCAACTACGCGTCGAACAGTGGGGACAACTCTGGCAGAACCGTGAAGGACCCCTGACGGTTGCGTGCATGGCGGACCTGATCAAGAAAGGGCAAGAGTTTGCTCAAGAAATGCAGCCATTAACGGAGCAGCCCAAACACTGGCAAGTTGAGATCCAAGCCAAATTTCTGGGAAAGAGCTGTCCCAAGCACGGAGTGCTTGCAGGTAGCTTTGAAAAGGGTTTTCGTGACAGAACACCACCAGGCGCTCAAGAAGATGGTCATCTCTGTTCTGCTGGACATGTCAAACTTCTATGATAGGATGCAACTGGAAACGCTGGATGAACGATGGACTATATAACTCTGACTACCTTTCAACCCATGCGGATTAGCTATGCAGATCTAGTGCCAGGGTCCTTGAAGCTGAAGTTCGGGTCCTGTCTGGACCAACAATGGGATTTCGGCAGGTGATCCCCAAGTACCATTGCGGCCAAAATATATCTGCGCAGGGCTTTGAAGGAGTTCAGCGAAAAGTACCCACAGCTCCACACTGATTTGTGGATTGACGACCTCAGCTTCGACGTAGTTGACAGAGACCCCACCAATGCAGCTCGAGTTGCTCTTCAAGCCTATGCCTTCACCAAAATGCCAACTGGAGGTGGACCACTCGAGACTTTCCGAAAAGAAAGCAGGTTTCGTTGTGTAGTTGTGTCCAATGCTGAAGCCAAGAATGCTCAAAGAACAGCTGCCTGAAAAGGAGGTCCCCGTGTACATGATGTCATGCGAGATCTTGGAGTACATTGCACTGCAGGCAGACTTCGACGGATCAAGACGATGAAAGCTGCAGGACCAAGGCAGCCAGGATCACCAAGAAGCCCCAAGTGCTCAAGATCCCGATGAAGGCGGTCGGCATCAATCAGTTGGGGGCATGAGGCCATCGCATCCGAGCAGCAATGGCCAGCCAAATGGGACTGGGGGACATTGACGTCTTTTGTTGACCAGGCTTTGGGCGTTTCTTTGTCAACCGGCCGGGGCGCTTGCATCGTGACCTCGACAGGGCGTGGCAGGTCCATTGTGAACGTTTTATCTGCGTGAACATGGTTGGGATACCGCAAAGTATGATGAGCGGACCAAACCTGGACACAACGGCGCACCTGACTTCAATCTCAACATAAAGAGGAGCTACAACGAGCGCAAGCCTGGAAGACGGTCATGCGCGTCAATAAGAGAACCATGCTGCAAGAAGTGCAGCAGCCACTGGACTGGTTCCCTTAAAGGCGCTACTCCAAACCTCCAGCGCAAGAATGCTACTGCCTTGCAGACCTGGCGTCTCTTCATCAAGATCAAGATGGCAGTGGCAGTCTACAGTCTACATTGCCCTCATTGCGGACAGGCAGCCACAGCAGTGCATTTGCCTCTGGCTGTGCTAGGAGACCAATAAGGCTTTCCCAGCTTTGGCCGAGGAAGACACCTTCGAGCTTGAACGTGGCTTGAATCTAGAGTTTTGGGCTCAAGGACTTCTGCGCAGGCGGTGCGACTGTTCAGGCTTGGGGATCTTGGACGAAGAAGGATGAGATTAGGCCGCAACAGCGATGTGGTGACCATTGGGATAGCTCCTGCAAGCATGGACCCCAGACTCATCCAGGCAAGCAGACTTTGGAAAGGGTTGGGCTTGGTTTTGTGGTCTTCGACTGGTGGCGCACTACATAGATTTGGTTTTCGGGGTCAAGGTTCAGGTTCTGTGAACAAGAGCCTGGGAAGCGTGGGTACACAGCAAACATAGTGAGGCCTTCTTCGACTTGAACCAACTCGTGACGCTGGGCCAGTCAAGGCCTTGAGCTTCAATCAAAAGCAGATCAAGTCGATGCCGCTGGGGCCTTGCACCATGAAAGCCCGAATGACGGACGCTACCGAAGCAGCGAAAGAAGTTGTCCAGCCAAACTGACCTTGAGGAGGAGCTGATGCTTCAGGACCAAAAGTATGCGAGAATTGCACCCCTTGCCGCGCAGCGTGTACGACGTCTTTTGGAGGATGCGCAGCGCTTCATGCGCAAGGCTGGAGAAGCTGGCAAGGAGAAAAGGCAACAGGCCAGGGAAAGGAAAAGAACCCTGTACAACGACATTGCCAACTCCAACCAGCCAAATGGGCATCGCGCAGGGAGAGGGCTACAGTGTTTCAATTGCAAGACACGTGTCGCCGTGCGCCAGAAGTACCAGGAGCTGCTGAGCGCCAATGATGATACTTGTGAGTGGGCGCACGGTCTTCCCTCAATGGAGGCAGCAGTGAGCCCGAGGACACCAAGGCTATGTTGCTGAAAAGGATCATTGAGGGCCAGCGTGATGCACTTGCAGGTCACGACTTTGAGGTTCAGACGAACTACGCGGCGCGCAAGAAATGCAATGTCCGCACTCTGCGGAATTCAGCCAGGGAGAAATTCCTGGCTATGGCCCAGCAAACGTGCTGGGATCAGGGGTGGACTTCCCGAGCCGCGTGGCAAGGGCACTCAACACATCGAATTTGACGCAAGGGAGGCAACGTCTTTTGTCAGGTGTGCAAAGCCCATGGCCTAGCGGAAGGAGCAGAGCAGTGGAAGCCTAGTAGGATGCTGCTCCACAGATGTAGAGGAGACACGGCATCGCAGGCAACATTACCTGCCTGTTTCTAGGCCAAAAGGGCCGAGGAGTGACAACAGTGCATCAAAGAAAAGGGACGCAGAAAAGTATCTACGTGTTTATGGTGGCAAGAATCCCAGGGGCACCACAAAAAAGGATAAGACCAATCGAGAGACAAAGGCTCGGCATTACTGCAACATTTGGTCTCCCAGTTCTACTCAGACGTTACTTAAGGTTGATCCTCTGACATACATGGGGGATGAACATCGATCACTTGTCCCACTACGCTTGGAGCAACCGCTAATGCCACAACACAATGAAAGCCTGCTCAATTTGCATGACCTCCAAGCCCATCAAGTCGGGGTAGGCCTGCAAACCGTAGAAACTTGTAGGGACCACCTACTGTAGCTCTGAGCCACTTGAGACTTAGTGGAAACCTCTTTTCAACGAACAACCCAAAGTCCAACAGTTGACAGATGTCCAAAAAGAGCTGCAGAACCTGACATTTGCTTCGCATTTTCAGGTCCAGAGGATGCTGGGGTTACGGTCCTAGTTGAAAGTGGCACACATGCCTCACGTGTTGCATTTGCCATTGGGTCCTTGGGAACCTTTGTTTTCATTTTGTTTTGTGCAAGTAAGAGCGCCGCTGGAGCTGCTTCACAATATTCATGCTTACACAATCTTGACTTACACAAAAAGCGATGTTTTCTCGGGATTGCTTGGTTTGCAGACGCCCTTAAGGCCGGGCCTCTGTCATGGCGCCTGTCGGCCTGGTTTTCCCGGCATGGTCTGTCAGCTCCAATTGCGGAGTGGAGTCTTAAAGGACAGTCGTGCAAGGCAATTCCAGGAGGATTTGATTGACTTCTACAACAACAATGGTTGAACTCTCAGAATTTCACAACATACAAGATCACACAGAGCAAAATCGCGAAGTGGCAGGCCGTCCGCCGTTGAATCCAGCTTACTTTGTGGTTGCAACATTACCAGAAGCATTGCAGATGCAGCCTAGCACTGAGCTGATGCAGCTGCGCATACGCTCAGTGTTGGCTTAAGGCTTAAGTAATCTTCAGTATATAGTATATAAAGAGTATTTTGCCAAATGCCACCAGGATATTACAAGAGTGTCCTGGGCTGATGGTGGCTTCCAGCATCCTGATTGCTCAGGCAACAGCAGAAGTTGTCACCACATCAACGAGACGACACTTGTTGAGTTGTTTTCTTGAGTTTGGAAGGCACGACAATCAGCCGGAGATTGTCCTCAGGCAGCACAAACGAGTGATAGACACAGTGTGGATAGCGTAAACTAGAGACGAACTTTGGACAACAAACGACATGAGATGACAGAAGTGCAGCTGAGATTGTTGGCAATCCGAGGCAGCTGCCGTTTTTCGGCAGATGCTGAGGTGGGCCTATTTGCTGCCATCAGCTCAGGCTTTTCAAGACATCAAACGGTTGGGCCGGATGTATGCTGGTACGGTCAGAAATTCCATAGATAAACGGGCTGTATATACAGTACAGGTCTCGTGGTCCGGATGTGCAGTGTTTCTCTTTTTTCCGTCTGAGCAGGCTCTAGACAAGCACTCCCTCTGGCTTTATACGACAACCACTGCAGTTTTCCAATTTTTTTAAAATGCTTAACGTATTTCTTTCCTTTGATGACACATGCTTTTGCAACAAACATGTCCTCCTCCTAGCTGATGACATCATATGCTGGAGTGGATTCGGTTCTTTTGGAATCTGCTAGGCTCTAGCATACAGCATACTCTAGTAGTATCCTGTTCTTCCAGCGTGGGGGCTGTGAACAATTCATGCTGAAAGCAAGGTCATCCATTAGACAAGACGAAAGTGCTTCATCAGATGGGATGCATGCGTGTCTTCAGAGTACATATATACCCGAATATACCCCTTACAGCCTACTTACTCCACAGAAAGAGTAGCCTTTACTAAACGCAAAAGGATGTCTAAAAGTTGAAACTCCAAATGAAAGATACAACCGCAGCAGCTGGAAACTGAAATAAACTTAGTTTAAAATCATTTCTTGCATGACCCTTGTCTCATCTTAAGTCACATGCAAGTTCCGAAAGAAACCTGTTTTGTACCATATCCTATCTCGCATACTTTGCACAGTCTATGAGAAGCAAGTTTTGAAAACAAGTTCGCAAGTAAATCTTCATTGATGATATCCTATCGATACCCTGTCTTGTACACATCTCATGATGCCTTGTTTCGTAACAAGGGCCTGGCACAGCATATGCCCCACAATGCCCATGTTTCCCTTGTCTTGTGCCAAAGGAATAGCACCTTTCTTCTAATACATCTGCGCATTCCACCACGTGTCACAGGATTCCTGCATATTGAACCAAAGGAGTAGTACCTGCCACACAAACTCGAGTTCAATCCCACCCCTCAACTGCCCTTCCACTTGTGAGGTACTGGAGGCAAGATAATATGGTGAACAGTAAAACATACCTGACGGTGTACAGAACCCCCCAAGATCTTTCCACCCACCCACCTGACCTGGGACTGCATGTTCTTTGCAAGGTGTCCTTTGAGCGGAAAGAGATGGCAGTATCAGGTGCCCCTAAACAAACTAGGAACTGCCCAACTAATTGTTTGGGAATTAGATTGATGCCTTGGTGAGGTCTAGTGCCTCCAGGGTGTGTAAGACGAATGTGCTTTCTCCAAAACGAATTGTTGTTCCATTGTGATGTCTTTTACGGACCTTATATGACTTCAGGGCATGAATGTCTTGAGGTTACCACCTGCAAGAAGGCCCAACACTGCAAATTTCAGAGAAGCTGTCATTCAGCATCATCCCAGATTGAATTTGCACAAGAGTATAAGAATATAATAACAAGCATCCACCGAACAATCAGCAGGACTTATATATATATATACATTTCTTTTTTTTTTTGCGAGTTGGTCACCTAGGAACAAATTAACAACACTTTTTCAACAACACTTTACACAAACCTCTTCAAAACCTATATAGGTTTTGTTTTTGCGCTAATCCAAAAGGTTGTCTTCTTTTTTGGTTTTGAGTTCGGGTGCATATTGTCTGAAACTTTTGTTTTGGTCCTTACCACAGAGGCTTACTCATATTACTGGAATCCCAGAAGGTTGACGTGCCCAAGCTGTGCATGAGTAGGAGCAGATCCTTCCACATACGTTCTTTGGCACAGAACTTTCCTTTCACAGGGTCTTTTCATGCCTTGTCCGATACGAAGAAACACCGTTAAAGGAGCTTACTTTTTTTTTGTGAACCATTCCTATTTGTAAGGTCCTGTCAGGTTCCAATGCCCTTCAAGCAGCCCTTCACTTCTCAAGTCTCCTCGATTGTCACAGCATGTTTGTGTTGCTGGCCTTTCAGGAACTTCGCAGCCCTTAGACCTAGGCAAAACATGCGCTTCTAGTATGAAACATTCACTAGCTAGGTCATAGTTTGATTTTCAATACAGATACCGTTACTTGTTCATAGGGTTCTCCTCCTTACAAAACACCTGTATCCTTGAAAGGCCTTCCTCACTTGCAAAGCCTCCTCATCTGCACAACCATTATCCTTGGTCAAGGCCTTCTTTATCCCAACGGAACTGTTCAGCACCTCCCCCAATCAAGCAAAGTAAGCATGAGCGTATCTTGTATTTGTTGACTTTTGAAACATAGGTCATCCCCATTTGCGTGGGTGAAAGCCGGTTGGCCCCTATCATCTGAGGGAATTGTTCAAGAAACCACATTTTGGCATTGTTTCTTTTTTTGGTCCGGGTAACTGCCGTGACCAAAGGGACCAAAGAGCAAGGACATTGAACCCCAAACCAGGGACCAGGGGATGATGGAACAGGAAATCAGGCACCAGAGGACAGGGGACCAGGCGAGACCAGATCATCCAAACAATTCTTTATTTTGATACGAATCCATGTTTCTTTGGACGCTCTCTTGACAGGCATGCCTTTTCAAAATCAACCAGTTACAAACAAATACAAACTGAAAGAATTGTTTCTGGTTCTGGAAGATCCAACGGTGGATGATAGAGGCCACCCGGTTTTCGCCTGGACGCCAAACACTCACGACATGCCCGAGGTGCTGCAAATACCAGCTGGATAAGTGAAACACTTCTGCCCAAAAGCAATGGACATACCAGTAAGGATTGTTTAAGAGACGTAAACCTTGTTGAGATGCTATTTCAGTGGTAAAGTCGATGGTGCCGTTGCACCAGCCGGGAGACAACCCACATGAACATGAGCATCCAATTCTCCTGCTACTGGTAGGTCACTGTTGGCAACAGCCACGCTCGCAAAATCAGATCGTCGTGACATATTGCCTTTGAGTCAAAACTGTGTGTTCAAAATTATGCAAATGCAGTTTGAGTGCAACAACCTAAGAAATGCAAGATGTCCAAGATTGAGACATCAACAATTGAGAAATCCAAGCATCCAATAGTAAAAAGCCAAAAACCAAAGATTGCAGATCCAAATAATTCGAAATGTTTGAGACATCCTAAATTGCAGCCCCTCCCACAATCCAAGAATTCAAGATCCTGCATTTGAAGAGTTGTTCATAGTCTCACCCGTCGAAGACCTTGTCCATCGTGTTTATTTTTGCTGAACATTCTGTCCTTATAGTACCAAAGATACAGTCCTCTAGTGGGGGGCCTCACGGCAGTTTAGGGGATTGAATGAGGTCAAGTCGTGATGCAGCCTTTCTGGTAGCTTGGCTTGTTGGAGTGTGAGCATATGGGCTTTTTGTTGTTTTCCTTGTTTCCAGAGGCATGTGGCATGTGCCCTGATTGACTACCCAACTTGCCGCAGCGCATATTTTGGCATGTGCAAGGAAGAGCAGAAACATGAATCCAGGGTTAGGATGTTTAGATTAAAGGTACTGTACAAGGACATTTTCCCCAACTTCACCTTCAAGTGCATCTCAAATCATTGTTTGCCTATCCAGATTGCATGATGCCGAGACGATGTACAGCCAAATGCAGGAGCTTCAACTTATCTAAGCTGGTGGCGCTGAATGTGCTTTTGATTGGAATTTGGGGTTTGGACTGTTTTCGGCTAGATGATGCCTGCGACTTCATCGCACCCACTGAGCTCACGCCACCAAGGGCAATTCCCACTCGCTTGAGGCGGACACAAACATGGCTTCAGAGTCGAGATGAACGAGAGGTTGAACAAGTTGAACAGAAGACTCTGACCTCACAATCGCGCTGGACAAGGCTTCGAAATTGGTTCACAGATGCAGAGAATCGCCGCCGGTTTGCATCCATGGGGGCTGCTGGCGTGTTGAGCTATGGCGTCGTTTCGAATGCCAATTATATACCACTTTTTGCGTACGCTTGGTATCTTGTATCTGTTCACACCAAAGTGTCTCCGTTGCATCAATGGCCTGCTTTTCTATCGACATATGCGACCCTTTATGTATTCAACAATGTGCTTCGGCCCATCAAATTGGTGGCGCTTGGTCTTGTCACACCTCGAGTAGATAGCTGCTTCAACTGGTTGGCGGGGAGAGGCATCGGAAGGAAACGCGCTGTTTTGCTTGTTTACGTGGTGCTGAATTCACTGACGATTCTTTTGATGGCCTTGAGTGTGTTTGGCGCCAGCTGCTTGGCCGGTGTCAGAATTTGGTGACAACAAGCTGCATCGATTGTGGAAAGTTCGCTATGGTTACACCCGTACTGCATACTGAAAAAGGGACAGAGTGCCAAGCTGACAACCAGTGCCTTGGACTTTGCCTTTTTTTGAGACGAGTCATCCTGCACAGCTTTTGCCCAAAGTGCAAGGGCGAAGCCGAAGCGGGGTAAGAATGAATACATCAGGTCTTGCACTGTAAAGCTTCCCGAGGCCCCATTTGATAGCCTGGTGCTGGAGGCATGCCAATACTTTCATTGAACTTGTGGAGATTCAAGTGTACTGGGTTAGTTGAGCAGGCGGAGCTTCTTTTGAGTTCCCAGTGTATTCTTGTTTATTTAGCTTTCCGTACTGCTTAGCTTAGCTGTTGCTTCCTCCTGAGAGTCCTGCCTCCTCCTGGGGATGTGGGGCAACGAAGATCTTGATCCGCAGGAGGAGCAAATCAAGCAACTGGTGACGCAGGCTTGGCGGCTTGGGATTGTCGAAGGTGAACATAGCACAGTATAGGGCCTGAAATTGTGAACGAACGAAGGAACAAGCACGCTACTAGGGGCTCCTGGCATCGCTACTAGAAACAAGAACGCTACTAGGGGCTCCTGGCATCGCTACTAGGAACAAGA